AGTCCTTTTCCTCAGGGCTGCAATGAAGATAATTTTATATTTGGTTGTCTTTATGTGTGTTATGGCATTTTCTGTATCTGGATTTTTGTTAACTCTGGAAACTAGTTCATTATTCACAGAGCATAATTAACTTCCACGGTAACTGCATTTGGTACGCTGAGGCCTGGAGAGTTTCTGTTTTTAAAGATATCCCAACACTTCCCCCAGAAATATTGGCTTCACTTAGGATTTGTTTCAAGGACTTGAATACAGAATGAGTTCACCTAAAATTCAGTAAATTTCATCATTGCATATTTCATTCATTTTTGCCCCGTAGACATGATTTTATCACTGTGCTATTGTATGAATTTGGCAATGACAGTTAAGCAATGAAATGCGATCTGGTTAAAGGGCTTCTTGACTGACCTCATTCTCTCTGTCTTTGAATTGTATTCCTAAGTCCAAATATCAGGAATTTTATGTATTTTAAGGGATGAAGATCACAGTGGCTGTTATTTACATGCATTCCTGTTGTCCAGCACACAACTGCTAGAATCATGCTTTTGCCCCAGCAGTTACAACTGTTTCTTTCAAAACGAGTGCTTCCCTCTCCGTTTGGGCTGGGTCAGCTCAAATGTATGACAGGTTTTATAACAAATAATGTAGCCATGCTTCACAAAATTATAGCATAGGAATATTATTAAAATGGTCCTTACCCAGAAGCAGTGCTATAATTAACGATCTGTCAGCATTCCTATTACATGTCAGAGGCCTTAAAACTTAATAATTGAAAATGTGTTTTGCTGAAACATGGCAGAGAAGTCCTCAACCTTTAGGCAGTTTTGAGGCAGATTTCTTAAGGCAGCAAAGCTTAGGCAGTCATGCCATCTGTCCGTCTGTCTTCCTGTCGCTCTGCTCCTAATAAATTTTGAACCCGTTGGCCAACTTCAGCCAGATCTGACAACGAAAAATGTCTCCAAGGGAACAAATTTCTTTTGGTGTTGTGACAGTTGGCAGCCGAGTAGGGGTAGAAATACAATGTAATGCCCTCTGGGAGAGAAAGTTAACTTCTGTGGTTAGCCTGCCAGCTAACCAGTCAGCACATCTAAGTCAGAAGCAGTCCCAACACATGCTGCATCTTGCCAATAAAGGGCTGGGGATAGTTTGAGGAAGACAGAAATGTGTGGAAGGGTGTGTTTGGGTTGAATAAAAACTGGCAGTCTTGCTGGGGGTTGGAGTGTGAAGCCAGCATTAAAAAGTGGAATGTGTAGGTACACTAAGAGATATCATTAGGAAATCAAGCTTTCGTAGACTCACAGGATGGTTTGGGTTGGAAGGGACCTAAAGGATCATCTAGTTCCAACCCCCCTGCCATGGGAAGGGACACCTTCCACTAGCCCAGGTTGCTCAAAGCCTCATCCAGCCTGGCCTTGAACACTTCCAGGGATGGGGCATCCACAACTTCTCTGGGCAACCTCTTCCAGTTCTTCCCCACCCTCTCCAGGAAGAACTTCTTCCTGATACCTAATCTAACCCTTCCACTTTCAATTTAAACCATTTACCCCTTTGTTTACTCATAGAACAACCTGTCCTTAAAGAAACTCCCTTTCAATAGGATTAGACTCATTTTATTTCCTAAACCCTAACTTCTTAGCTAAGTCAGCCACAGCTTCTACTACACCCAGTGTTTCCAGGAGGGAAGTCCTTGAGACAGTGCTCTTTGTTTGTTTGCAGAGGGCTTTTCGAAGAGGTACCTATTCCTTAGATGCTGTCTTCAGATCAGCCCTGGTCCTTGTCAGCTTAGGGGAATGATATGACCTTAAAAGCAGTCTCAGAAAATCTAGGAGGCGGCAGGGTTAATATTGCTAGTTTACTGAAGGAGTTAATGGGATTTCTTTCCCTTTCAGATGGCTTTTGCAAAGTACTGAAGCCAAATTTGATACGTGAAAAAACCCTTTATATTCTCAGCATGCAGCAAAAAGTTCCCTTGAAAATATTGCATGAGTGGTTATGTGGAATACCATATTGGGTCCCAGTTTCTGTTGTCCTGGAAATGATAGTACTATTAAGGGAGGAAGCAAAACAAGGAGTTTTGAGCATGTTCTGTTGCTGGACAGTTTCCATGGTGTGGCTTCTCATTTGCAGCTGGTTGTTGTGTAAAAGAGAATTTTCCCTAAAAGTCCAGAAACAGAAATTCAATTTGTGAGGAATTTAAAAATAAACACAGTATTTCATACTATTTTCTAGCTATTATAGTTTTTGGTTGGATTTTTTTGGTCCATGCAGTGAAATAATAGGTTATGCTTTTGAATTGTTTTTGTAGCATACACCATTATGTTGTTTAAAAATGTACGGCATTTGTTTTCTTACATGCAGCATTAAGATTAGACTTGCTTATGAAACTTAACAAAACAATATACTCTGGGCTATTGTCTAACTCTGTATTTAATTTTTATTCAAGGCTTATTAGGTGTTGGTTTCCAACGCTTTGGCAACAAAGAAAAGCTAAAATCCAGTCCTTTACAACACCTTTTTGAGGTAAGTTGAGAGAAGACCAGCTAGGGACTTCAGAGGACTGTCCATTTAATGTCGCTGCAGTTTGGTACGGAATGGTATGTCTGCAGGGTCACGATGAGACTCGTGTTGGATGTAAACAACCTTGCTTGAAGGACCAGTGCTAGCCTGGGCCACGTCAGCAGAGACAGTTTTCACTAGGCCATGGCAGCAGAAACAGGGTCTTGGCTGTTGGTTTGCTCCATTCAAGTATGTCTGGTCTCATCTGAGTTAGTACTTCCTTCTTCCTCTTCACCAGTTCCAGTGTCACTTCTTGTTTCACACAGTGCAATGAGAAAAAAGGTTTTCCTCAATCTTTTGGTTCTTGTAAGCAATCTTTGGTTGGTACGTGAGAGAATGTGACTTGTGTACTTAGCCACACAAATCCAACGACTGGAAGGCTGGGTGGACAAAATTTTCTGAATGGTTATGTTCAGGCCCTCATCCTTTACAAGAAAGGTTTCAGGTGTTAATGGGGCATTGTCGGGGTTCTTGTGTGGCAGTGTCAAGCCTTCTCTCACTCAAAGCTGAGCTGTGCTTCACCCTCTGTGCTGGATTTGGGAACTATTGCTAACGCTGGTGTTCAGAGAGTATGTCACAGGGTAACTGCTACACGGACATCCGTTGCCTGGCAAAGGAAGAAACTGTGTGTGAATACCTGGGTGCTCTGCAACTGGATACTTATTAGACAGATGGTTTACGTGGTGGAGTAGGTCCTCCGTTTGCTAGCTTCTTTGACGTGGATAAATTTTGCTCTCTTTTTCCCCTCATCCCTCAGGCCTGCTCGATAAAACTGGTGGATTCTCAACATGGAGGTGTTTTAGAGCTGTATGGCTGATTTAAAGAGATGACAAGAAGTAGTCATATTCTTCGTCCTGCGTAACATTTAATTTTTATTTATAATTTCAGTCCGTTTTTAGGATTTAAATTTAGAATGGTTGAATTTTGCACTAAATGCAATCTATTGCAGTAGCATGTAGGCTTTATGACCTTAAAAAATTACCTTCAAGTGTAGAGAACAGTATTCAGTCAAGCTGCTAACGGTTCTAAAACAAGTTGTTTGAGACCAAATTAGTTTCTCAAATATTCCCACTTTTTACCTGTTTGTTCAGCTGTATTCCTGGTTTATATCAACTACTGAGATGTGTTTCAAAGTGGTGGTTTTTCTGCTGTTGTATGAAACTGATCTTTCCTATAGTTCACTTCAAAAGAAAACTTCCATAGCATGGTTTCTATATAAAGAAATGTAAAGACAAATGTACCTTTCCAAACATCTTTGCACCTTCCATTTTGGTCAAGTCAGATGCAAATAGACCTTTTGCATTATTTTTACTTTATAACATCGAAGATTGGGGAGGGCGAGTGAGGTGTTAGAATGTGTAAAGCTGCTGATGGGGGAAGGGGAGCATTGTTCTTGGGAAGGGTTGAATTTTCCCTCTACATTAAATTTCTTTCTTGTGGCAGAACTCAGTAAACATTAATCTTTGAGGCTTCACAACAGTACTGCCTGTTAAAATCTCTAAAAATCTTGGGAAATAAAACAAAGGGGAAACGTTCAAGAGTTTTGCTGTGGAAGCTTTTTTTGTTTCTTTTTTTTTTTTTAATAGGCAGAACCCATTTGAGCGAAGTATTGTTGGCAAACTCGTCTGAACATGGCAGGAGTGAAGTTTTTATAATTATTTCTTTTTTATCAAGACTGCAATGATTTGGGGATCAAAACTCTCTTACAAAGACTTAAAAGTTAAACAGCGTTGAACCATGTGGGTCTAAATACATAGTGTAACCACTAGTTAATTTAATTATTTTTAAGTAGTACTTGAATTTTATAAAACTCTTCCATGGATTTTCAAAATTCTATGTGGGGAAGGCAAGGAATCATTGTCTGGGCAAATATTTGGCCTTTAGTGATAAAGGAATATGTTCATAAGCAGAAGAGCCAGATTTGTTCTACATAGGTAAAGTTGGCTACTACAGGAGTTTGCAATGCTTTTAGCAAACTGACAGTGCACATGTATGTGTCTAGTCAGATGCTGACATCTGCTTGTCAGATGCTTGTCTTCTGAAGTCATGTGCTTGACTTCAGCCCCAGAGAGAGAGCACGTGTTAGTATGGGTGCAGACTACTATAAGTAAGTGACTTTTGGATCTGAGCTGGGGTTTTTTATCTTGTAAAACATTGAGTCTATCTAGGATTTTGCTGCTTCAACTGCCATCTCATTTTTAGGTAGTGCAGTTGTTATAAGTATCATCTTTGTGGTCCTCTGAAGAAAAATCTCTGGTTTAAAAGTCTGTGATGGTTTCCCTTTCATGCATAAATCAGTTCTTCCATACTCTGCTGCTGCATTTGTTTCAGGGTTATGGAGAGGACAACAATGACAGCAGTAAGGAATTATGGCATTAGTCTTGTTTCAAGATAAGCTGCACATTTTCCTATTGGAGTTTGGACTACTCATTCATCCTTTAAATAGGAAATGTGTTCCTTTAACACGGCTTTAAAATTTTGAAGTTACAAATCTCATCTTTAAATGTATTTATATTGTTCCTATAGAATTTTGCTCTGCTAATTTTTATTGGAGGAGAGGGTTATACTTATTCAACATTTTCAGTGACGTTATATTTTAGGTGTATGTGGAGATTAACAAAGCCGCCGAAGATGAAGACACAAAGAAGCTGGCTAAAGATTTCTTTAGAAAACTGGAGAAACATGATGAGCAGACGTTGTCACTTTGGAAACAATTTAGAGACTTCAGTATTGAGGAATACATCAGGATGTATAAGGTACAAATCATCCACTGCTTTTTCTGTGTTGTTGGTAAAATGGTCTCTCTTTATCTCTTGCTCCATCAGTTCCTTGACAGTGCACAGCACCTTTTCATCCAAGAGACTGCCAAACAGTGAACTGACTTGGGAACAGAGATTGCTGTAACGTCAATTCCTTGCCTTTCCAGTAAACTGTACAGTGTAGTGGGGAAGGTGTTTCTCATTATGACAGGTTCTGCTCCATTCTGTTTGGAAAAAGCATGGTAGTTGATTTAACATCTAAGCAGACCGCCACTTTAGTTGCTGACAACCTGGGTACATTTTGTTTAATGGAGTCCAGGTAATTGGCCCTTAGACTAATTCCCCCTTCTCAGAAGCCCTGAAGCTGGGAGTATGGTGCTGAGCAACAAAGCAAATCGATGTTAGATAAATACTGTTCAGTTTTGCTTTATCTTTGAAGTCAGCAACAACCCGCTAAATTTAACAGTTTCCATGTAATAAATTTTATTAGGAGATAACTGTTTTCACATTTCTGATCTAATGCAAAGCTGTGTACATTGCCTATTAAACTGAGTGTAAGTAATTACAGCAGCAGGAGTTTACGACAGCAATCAGTGCATAAGTTACCTGCGGGTTGAGTTGAGCTAATATACAGCCATCTGTTGCACGCTGTAATCTCAGGAATGGAGCCCGTGCCCACTGTTTCATGGGGGATGTTTGTGCCAACGACCGCAAAATGAATCTTACAAATCTGGGAGATAAACCTTCTGTCACTGAATCCGGTCTCTTGGTATTAATACTGTGTAATCTTACCCAAGATCCAACTGAGCCCATCTGAACACCAGCTAGTGTTTTTCTTTCCCATATTCTTGAAAAGAAATTCTGCAATGGGTGTCCAGTTTTGATGGGCTTAGACATTTTTTTCTAACTCGCAGCTCCAAGGAATTTGTGACTTGTTCTATACCACTTCCTTCTAGTGTTACTCTTTACTTCAAATTGCACTTTTCTGTCTCCTTCCCCTTCATGTATCTGTAGAAATTGGTCATGTCTTCTTTAATCCTTGATTGCAAATTTAAGTGGCCTGCACCTTCCTCAGGAATTCAGATAACCTGGCTGTGCTTTAAGTTCTTCCCTGAAACGTATCACTGGAGTCGTGCCACGTACTCTAACTTACGATCTCCTGAGTGAGTCACAGCCTTGGTACTTCTAGTGGAAAGCTGGCCTGTAAGTTAGTGGGGATTGGGCTGCCTGTGCAGCTGCATCACGATGGTCACTCGTTGTTGATCACTTGATGACTGGTACAGCTAGACCTTTCTCTCCCAATTCCTTGTCAAACCAGTAAGCATGCAGCTGACAGCTTTGTTGCCCTCAGTTAAAAACCTTGTCTTTCGTACTATTGCATTTCGCATGGTTTTGACAGTTAAAGTCATCCTATCTCTCCCAGGTGTACCCTCAGCCTTCCTAGTAATGGTGATTTCTGTGTGCTCAGCAGTGTGTGTGAGCAGCTCCTGCTTTTTAAATTTCTTATGGGGTGCTTTTAAAATAGGATTGGTTTCATGGCCAAGTAACTTCTCTGCAGTCCACTGGTTTGGCTCCAGCACAGCCCTACCTCAGAATTTTTGTACTAATTGCTCTATCCAATTTACTCCCAATTTACTTGTCGTGAACATTATGTCCAATGCTGTATTGAACTCAGGGAGATTAATTCTAATGCAGAAATAAATTAAATCAAAGTCCAAACATCCTTTCCTTTTAACAACAAAGTGACATTTTCTCAAAAAAAAACCCCAAAATTGCACTGACCTGTGACACAGACCTATCATCTGACTTAATTTGAAGAAATTATTAGCCTCGATCTAACAATGTTTCCCTTCTTTCACATTCTTGAAACTTTTCAGCGCCTAGGAGTGCACTTTGATGAATACTCCGGAGAATCGTTTTACCAAGAGAAGTCTCAGGAAGTTCTCAAGATGTTGGAGGATAAAGGGCTCCTGCAGAAAACAACGTATGAACTCATTACTCACTCTGTTGGTGTAGTTTGCCTAACGGTTGCATTTCAGATGAGATATGATGAGAGAGGTGTGTACGTAACCTAAGGGGAAGAGTTTTCCGTAGATGGTTTTGGTTGCTGTTCTAGTAGAAGACCAACAGGTTTTGTGCTAAAAAATTAAGTTTGCCTTTTCTCGTGGCTAGCACAGAAGCCTGGCTGCGACAAGTTATGCACAATGACACTGTTGAACTCCTAATGGCCTTTGAGGCTGTTAATTGGTTTGGTAGCTTCACTGCTATTTAACGAGCAGAGTTAGATGAGATCCTTGCTTTGATGTGCTGCCTGTCTGAACTGGGGCGGAAGTTGTAATCGTGTAACACGTGGGCAGGCAGCTCTCTGGCATCAGCAGCAGTGACAGCAAACATAGAGGAACAGTCTTTGGAAAGACTTAAAAGGAGACAGTGATTCAGACAAAAGAAAGAGATTGTCCAGAGTGAGTGGGGTTCCTTGGCAAGAGGCCCATGTTTTGGTTCTGTCCTCTGTCGTACCTGAACTCACCTGTATATTACATCTGACTTGCAGTTACTGCAGTGTTCTCTTTCAACTTACAGGGAAGGGACAGGAATTGTGGATCTTTCAGAAAAGAGAGACCTCTCATCGTTTTCCACTGTCATGCGTAGCGATGGGACATCTCTTTATATAACAAGGCAAGCAAGCCCATCTGTGTTTATTTTTGTTTATTTTGCCAGTCAACTTTTGTACATGGGTAACCAATAGTACAGATTTTGAAGCTTGTTGTTTCTGGGATGGAACACCTTGATGCATGAGTAATCGTAACTGAAACTAGAAATCATAGAATCACAGAATGGTTTGGGTTGGAAGGGACCTTAAAGACCATCTAGTTCCAACCCCCCTGCCATGGGCAGGGACACCTTCCACTAGACCAGGTTGCTCAAAGCCTCATCCAGCCTGGCCTTGAACACTTCCAGGGATGGGGCATCTACAGCTTCTCTGGGCAACCTGTTCCAGTGCCTCACCACCCTCTCCGGAAAGAATTTAATACACATATGTATTATATGTGCAGAGTATGTATGCACAACTTGGATCCCTCCACTAGCCGAGCTTCAACACTCAGTCTGCCACTGGCTGGCCCCTACATCCCCAGCTCTCCCCAGTTGCTGGCACCTGGCCACGCGAGACTGCAAGGCCCATAGCCACACTCCAGGTGCTGGTACGGACACAGTGATCCATCCAGCAGCTGTCCCTGCACCCTCAGTCTCCCCTCTTGCCTTCTACATAGAGACACATGGACACAGTCAACCCCCAGGCCCCATGGTCTTGCAGCAGTTGGCCTGGACTCCCTGATACCAGCAGTACAGTGCCTCTGGGTGCCTCATCTTTGAAGACACACATGGACCTTCCTTATCCTTCTTATCAGGAAGAAATTCTTCACAGAGAGGGTGGTGAGGCACTGGAACAGGTTGCCCAGAGAAGCTGTAGATGCCCCATCCCTGGAAGTGTTCAAGGCCAGGCTGGATGAGGCTTTGAGCAACCTGGTCTAGTGGAAGGTGTCCCTGCCTGTTCTTTAATGAGAGGACAGGACAGACTCTGCTGGTGAGGGGCAGGACACAACCAGACAAGTATACTAACCATCAATTGGTTTACAAGCCACCCGTTCCTTTTGTGTTCTTCTCCCATCTTTGGTTCCTCCACTAAGCATTCCATAATAAGTCGTGTGTAATGGCAAAATGCTTTTCCCCTGCACCCCGTGTGTCCCATGTCACTTAGGCAGTAACCTCCCTCAATCAGAAGGTACTCTGAAGAGCAGCTCCTGTTGACCCCCGAGGTGTGTTTCAGGCCGGGACGTGGGGCTGATGTCTCCTGTGACAGCCCTGGGAAGCCCTGGAGCAAGTAGTTTCTCTGCACTACTTTGTGTGTGGGAAGATGAGCTTTTTATCATATAATCTAACACTGAGCGCTGGGTTAGTTTTCCAGGAGAGGGTTGTTTCTCTCAAGTCTCCCAGTTGATTGATCCTCCCAGTAGGCAGAGACAGGACTTACTCTGTGCATAAGAACGTTTCCTCAGTAATTTTCATAGCTGGTGTTTTATAAAGGCATTTCAAACACATGTTGTGAACAAAGTATACATATGCTCTTTTTTCTGTAAGGCATACTTGGATCCCTCTAATCCGGAAGTCCTCTTCCCTCCATAAGAGTAAATTGTTTGCCCAAGAGGCAAATAATGAGGTATGTGTGAGTGAAAGTCCAAATAGTTTCTCATTATCTCTTTCAGAGACCTTGCTGCTGCTATAGACCGAATGAATAAGCATAGCTGGGACACTATGATTTATGTGGTAAGTAATTCTAGATTCACCGAACACTAATGAGCCTGACTCTCGCCAATAATCCAGGGGGGCCTCTTGCTCCCAGTATGACTTTGGCACATTGTATTTTGGCAGCAAAATAGATGCCCTCCCTGCCCAGCAGCTGTGCCTCAATGTGGCAGTTTCTTGGTTCTGTTTTCAGTTCACGACCCACAGAATGGTTGAAAAGTCAGCTCTGAAGTTACTCTCTGTTTTAAAAATTCATTGTGATTCGTTTTAGAGGAACTTCTACCCAACTGACACTGTATTTTCTACATAAATGTTGTCATTAATATTTAAACAAGTCAGAAGAAGCTGTTAGTGTTATAAGGGATTGTAAAATGTTAATTTAGAAATTAATGTTCTAACATGAATCTTAGTCTGCTCTCAAGTCCTGGCATTTTATCTGAAATGTAAATTTTTATGGCTTTGAACAGTGCCTTGGTTTCATTACGTAGCAATTGCACATAAAGTACCGCTTCATCAGTCTGGACTAAGCAGTTTTAGACAGGGAGTCTCTTTATATTTCGTGGATTGATTATTTTGCTTTTTAAGAATTCCTACAGTATCAGTAATAAATAGCAGTATTGTGACAGGACAAGGGGTAACGGGTTTAAATTGAAAGTGGGGAGGTTTAGATTAGATATCAGGAAGAAGTTCTTCCCAGAGAGGGTGGTGAGGCACTGGAACAGGTTGCCCAGAGAAGGTGTGGATGGCCCATCCCTGGAAGTGTTCAAGGCCAGGCTGGATGAGGCTTTGAGCAACCTGGTCTAGTGGAAGGTGTCCCTGCCCATGGCAGGGGGGGTGGAACTAGATGGGCTTTAAGGTCCCTTCCAACCCAAACCATTCTGTGATTATCTTCTCACTTGCATGAAACTGTTTTTTGCTTTAGTATCATGGATCAAGTATTGATTTAGGATCAAGTATCACATGATGCTTTTAAATTTTCTTTTTCCCAGATTTAGAAAAAAAAAACATTTTGGAAACCATGCTCTATTATGTGAAGTCAATTAGTAACCTGTGGAAAAAATCTGCAGGTTTCTGGCATGTTCTCTGTGTTTGGTAATGCCCGTAAATCTTTTCTGGTACAGCTCTTTCAAAAGCCAATATAAAGTTACAAATACCATGATTCAGGGGAGGAGGAGAGATCAATAATGGTAAAATTAAATACCCTGATAGTTTAAAGTGCAACTTTTAGTTAAGGCACATTCCTCCTTTTATTTTCAGTCTTCAGGAAGTTTCCAGGAGCTTGCCGTTCCCACATGTGGTTGTAGAACAGGGACGTTTTGGTTGTGGTTTTTTTGGGGGGGGAGGTTGTGTGGTTTTGGTGGGAGGTTTTTTGGCTCTGCTGGCCGAACCATAGTAGATTCACTGGTGTCGAAGAGCAGTGTGGCTGTGAAAGTGCAATGCGTTGGGAGTTAAGGAAGCTTCCTGCCTAATTCAGGTGGGTAGGTAATTATTTGCATTTGTTATGCCAAGAGGTAGTAGGGACCCAGAGAGAAGGAACAATTAGGAAATGGTTGGGTGGGTACTTTGCACAATTTAGGATGCGGGCTGCATGCGAAGGTAACGGGGTGAACAAGTGTGGGTGCAACAGCCTTGAGCTGACTGGCTGCTCATAGCTGCACTCCAGCATCTGTTCACTTCCTTGCCCTGGCCTCTGTGATCTACTCCTAATCCCAAAATAAACGCAGGAAGAACTGACTGCGATGCAATTGATGTGATCGTTCATGTCTCATTGAAGTTGGAAATGGGAGGTGAGCCTGTCCAGTCCGGCTCTCTCAGCCTTGCTAAGGTTGCATAGTTTTTTGCTAACATGATTCGTATTTCTATTGTTTCTGACTTTCTGAGGGCTGAGAAAGCGGGTCATAAAATGAGAAGCTGATACCACGAACTGTGAGGAGAGTTTGAGAGAGAGATTGAGATCCCCGATGAGGGGAACTGCCAGGTGGCTGAGCGTTGCTGCTGTTTTGTGGCAGTGCTGTGTAGTGGGTGAGGACTTTACTCCGTGTTACCAGAGGTGAGGGCTTCATGGGTTTCAGTAGGAACACTGATGATTAGTCTTTAATTATTAAATGCAAATGATTTCCAGAATCCTGATCCTGTTACAAGAAAATTATTGAAAGGCTTTTGAGTCTTACTCCATAAGATCATCATATTTTCATCAGATCCACTCGTTTAAAAGAATGTTACATTGGTTTGTTAGTTGTAATGCTGTAAATCAGTGCCTTCACCGATTTGCATTTTAAAAAATCGTACTTACTTCACAAGATTGCTGTCATATGAGCAAACTACCAAAAGCGTTATAAAATGCATGACACCTGTTAAAGAGGTACTGAGATTTACTTGAATGTTGCACTCAAAAAAAGAGATGAAAACTCTTTTATAGATGAAGAACTAAATGCAGTCCATACTGTCAGACTGCGAACTTCTCCCTTAAAGCCAACAACTTAGATAACACTAGGACACGTATAATACTGGGGCCTGTAAAGAAAAACCCTGCCATTCTTCATAACATGAATTTTTTGAGGGAGCATTTGTATTGTTTTTGACATGCAATGAAGCTTCCAAAAGAAATAGTTCTGTGAAATGGTGCTGTGTGCAGGTTCATCTTTTCTTACCTACTCACACCCCCATGTTTGGAGTGTTACTTCTAGGCAGAGATGTAGTGATGTGGTACCCCTACTATTTTTTTTCCCATCCTTCTTACCCACTTTGTTTTTCATGCAATTTTAATTCTGTGAATTGTTCCAGCATAAAAAACACTCATTGTTGTGCTTTGTGACGTATCGCGTTGCGTACCAAACCCAGGGAATTTGACGCTTAGTTTTCAGGTGGCCAGGTGAAACCTGGAATTCAGCTTGTACTGCCCAATAGGTGTTGTCCTCTCTTTGTCTGTATTTCCATGGGAGTATATAGGATTATAAAAATAATGTATTAGATTATTTTCTGTTCATGATTTTAAATATTCATCTGTGTGCTATAGCTATATGCATTGGTCAAGACAAGTCATTACAAACTTAAGTCGGCTCTTAGTTTAGTTCTAGCTGAAAATTCTGCCCTGTGAACAGACACTAAGAAGCAATTAAGACTTAGAAGGATTGGAGTCTTTTTGTTGGTGAGTATTGTCACAATTTGTCACAATATCTGCTCACAAAAGGCTGCCATCCTCCGAAGAGGCTTTGAAATGTTATAATCATGGTCTGGGTGATGAGGGACATGCTGTTGTACACACTAAACAAAACCAGTTTCCGTCATGGAATTTATATTATCTTATAAACAGGAGAATAGAGGTAAATTCAGACCTAGAGGGGAGCAGAGGAAACAGCGAGGCAGCACTGGCCAGTGCAGTGAGCTGGCCTTGAGCTAAACTTTGTAAATTTTACTGTGAGATCTTTTAGCGACCGAGATCTGGCTTTGCTACAGGTACCTTTTGCTACAGGTACTCTCTTGTACGTGAGGTGGGTGGGAAAGAGCTTAGGAGGATTTGTTTGAAATGCTGACCACCACTGCCCATCGATTGGCCTTGCCTGGGAAGCTGCCCAGAGAGAGGTGATGCAAAGGAGCAGGGAAGGTTAGGAGGAACTCTGAAAGAGGAGGCAGGTGCTTGAGGCTTGATGCAGTGGTAAGGTTGATAAAAAATGCAGATAAACCCTTCACTCTGTGCCTTGCAACACCAATCAAATAAGGAAATGGTGGTTGTTTGGTTATCACTGCAGTAGTTTTTTTAAGGAGGGATAAAGGAGGCTTTGATTGAGGTAGTCAGAGCCACTGGGTAGGAAAATGAACTTTGTGGCAACAGCTGTAGCTAGGAATGCGTACAGAGATCATTGTTAGATGTGAAACATCCATCAGAAACTTCCTTGAGTCATAGGAGAGAGTAATTGGAAGAAAGCACAAAATCTTTAATATGAAATATCAATGTGAAAATGTGATCATTTGCGGGTGGTGGTGGTTTTTTTGTAATTATGAACCTGATTTATGCTGTAAAGCTCGACAAATCGTGCTGGAGACAACAGAAGCTGCTGGGTTCTGGAGACAAAGAGGGCTTAAAGAGGTGTTCTGTTTCTATGCGAAGGGAACCTTGAAGTTTGGGGGTGTAAAGCATGGGAATATAACGAGAGCAGTAAGGCTCTGAACTGAAAATGGAGGCGCTTTGTCTGATGGGCAGCTGACGGGTCATGTGAAACTAAAGAACATCAGAGTTTCCTTTCAGGTCATGGCTTTGCCTTCGTGACCTAGGAATAAGCATTTTTTAGAGGGTAGATCACATTTTCTGACAAGGTGCAAAATCCCCTTACCGCAGATTCCAGCTGGTATGTTTTCCAAGTCTTGCCTGTCTTCGCAGGTCTTAATTCTGCTCGCAGCGACTTACTGGCACAGGATCTGTGGTGGTGTGTGTTGGTGTGTTAAAAGCTCAGCCTTATCAAGCTCGGAGTGTTTTCTAATGTGCACCAATTCTATTCCTCAGACAGATAAAAGTCAAAGTAATCACTTCCAACGTTTGTTCCAAATACTGAAGCTCATGGGTTACGACTGGGCAGAAAGGTATGTATTTACGAATCTTCATGATATACTTTTTTTTTTAAAGAATGGGTAATATGTGCGTTGAAATTAGTGCTCTTTCTAAGAGAATCTGACTGTGCCCACCTACCACCATGCCGTAACACATCCTGTAGGCATTCTGAATGACACTAAGCCACAGGATGTGCTGCTGGTGTGCAACGAATGAGCTCCAGAGGGCAGGCAGTCATTTGGCCTGTAGGACCCGACTAATGCTAGTCCAGTAAGGAGGACAAAAATAAGAAAACAAAACCCCCCGAACCATCTGCAGCATGGGCCTTGGGTCCCCGGCAACCAACCTTTTCACTCCGTACGGCCGTCCCTGCTGGTCTGTTTTATTTGCGAATGGAGGCATCGCCCCATGTTTGGGAGGTGAAAACCAGCCCTGTCTCTCATCGAACAGGTCTTTCGTAACGGCCTGATGTGAAAAAGGGAAATGGCCTTTCAGAGACGTTATGGAATAGTTTCTGGGATTGTGTGTGAGCGCATATTAAATGATCACGTCGTCAAGTATGAGATGCCAGCAGAGATCTGAATCCGAGTTTGAATCACGTTTCAGGCTGGAAGCATCTATTGCAGGGAAATGTACCTCCGCTGTTACTCACCGTAATTGCCAATCCTGTTAGCAGGCTGAGCACAGGTCAATAATGGATCTGCAGACTAAATCATATTCCTCTCTGACAGACTGCATGTCTTTTGTGGTTAAATTTAGGATTTTAGCCTTCAGGAATATTAGTCTGCCTCCCTTCACAGTTCTTCAAGTTGCATTAACCTTAGGTTATGGATCCAGAATAATGATTGGGATTATTGTGAGCCGCAGCAATGAGTGTTTTATTATTAGCAGTGATTAATTACACTTTTAGTTTAATGTGGCCACAATGGAATCATTGTGACTCCCTTTCTAATGCTATTAACAGATCTGTGTTGCCACAGTAATTTGATCTGTCTACATCCTGCCTCTCCTCAATTTATTGCGTGGAGTCCTCTGTACTAAAGCTGGTAGCAAGAGAGGTTCCCAAGAGCACGCGAATGACCAGGTTATCATCATTCCAATCGTAATTTTCCCGTTATGTAACAAGCGTGGCGCTTTGGTCGCTGAAATGAGAGTTCCTGATTGTATCACCAAGCTTCCCACGTCGGAGCGCTGTTTATTCAGCTGTTGTTGCCGGTTCCTGGTAAGAATCCAGCGCTGAACAAACGCTGCAAACATTTCTCTTAATTAAAATGTAATTTGGGGGCCTGCTGCTTTTCAACACAGGTGCCAGCATGTGTCTTTCGGTCTGGTTCAAGGGATGAAGACTCGGAGAGGAGAAGTAATTTTCCTGGAAGACGTTTTAAATGAAGTTCGCTCAAGGATGTTACAAAACATGGCTTCCACAAAAAGTTAGCTACTTCAGGTCTTATTCTTTTGCTGTTCTGTGTTGATCAAAACCGCGTCATCTTTTCTACCCTGCACTTTTCCCTTCCCCAGGCTAATTGTACTGATACGCCCAGATCTGCGCACTTTTTGTATCCCCCGTAATACAAACAATGTTAAAATAATCCTCTGCAACTCTGTGAACTTCCCTAAATTGCAGCAAATTCTAACATTCAGGGAAATTATTTCATCCTGCTTTTGCACTGGGAACAAGTACCTGCCTTTGGGGGACCACAGTTCCTTTTTCTTTCCTGGAGGGACAAACTCGTAGATGGCGGGGCTGGGGGCTGGAGTTGGGGGAACAGTCAGATTTCATCCCAAGGATTTGCAGCGCTGGCGGTTTTCTCTGTCAGGGTTGACCGTAGCTTGTCCACACCTGCTGCCTCGTCGTCCTCCCAGTCTCATGGCTGTGTCCGGAGTCCCGGGGAGGTCCCAGCTCTGCGGCAGAATCTGCCGAAGGGAATGTTTGCCTGCACCTGGGGCTGTGGTTCCGGAGCCTTTCCCTCTAGGCGCAGGAAGGATTCAAGCCGTTCCCGGGGCAATGCTGCCCCCTCTCCCGCGTTCTGCACTGAATCACTGAGCTGACCAGCTCAAGGCGTGGGCATCTTCCTTGCTCTGCCTCCTCGGCATGTTCAATCCAGATAATTTTGCCGGTAGAGTGGACGAGAAGTGGGGACAGGTGGAATGACAGAAGGGTGACCCTCGATTCAAACCGGTTGTACTGCGGAGAGGAGTGGGGCTTAGAGCTGAAAGGCCAGTGTCATAGCTGGGTGCAGAGTAAGCTGATTTTTCTGCTGGACTGACAGGGCAGAGGCACAGCCCCATGTTCCGTTCCACAAGCAGTAGGCAGCTAAAAGAAATAACGTGTTCAGATGGCGCTGCAGCTTTCCCCAGAGCTTATCCATTAGATCCTAAATCCTACCTGTGCCTGTAGAAATTTCCCCTCTTAGGTTTGAATTCCTGCCTCGCTTCCCTTTTCTTAAATTAGGCATTGTAGATCCCAGACTCGTAGCAATGTGTTCAGTGTTTGAAAAGTGTTTGGATATGCAGTGCAAGATAGTACATACTTGTGTGTGGCATCAAAGCGCCTCACTTGGTGAGAAGGCTGCGGGAGCTGGGCATCCAATAGCCAGTGCTAGTGTTAAAATTCATGCTTCTGTGGGGCTGGTTAGTTGAATACCTTTGTATAAACTCTCTCTTTGCTGTGAGCTGTAGAATCGTAGAATCACAGAACGGTTTGGGTTGGAAGGGACCTTAAAGACCATCTAGTTCCAACCCCCCTGCCATGGGCAGGGACACCTTCCACTAGACCAGGTTGCTCAAAGCCTCATCCAGCCTGGCCTTGAACACTTCCAGGGATGGGGCATCCACAGCTTCTCTGGGCAACCTGTTCCGGTGCCTCACCACCCTCTCCGGGAAGAACTTCGTCCTGATATCCAATCTAAACCTCCCTGCTTTCAATTTAACCCCTTTACCCCTTGTCCTGTCACTACAGGCCCTTGTAAAAAGTCCCCCCCCAGCTTCCTTGTAGGCCCCCTGTACGCAGTTCTGCTACTCAAGTTTCCATTATTGGCATCCTTTTTTCTTTCTACTCATCTAAATGGATCCTGCTGTCCATGTAACTCCTCTGAATAACGCCCGTTTCCCTTCCTGCTTTACTGCCTCTTAGATAGCTTTGTCTGTGTCTCATCGAGCATCTAAACAAAAGCCTGAATTCTGAGACAGTTGTTCTGTTTGGAAACAAATCTCAGTTATGAAATGTAATGTTAACGTATTTGTCTTTCTGAAGGAATAGCCAGGCCGAGACTTCTCAGGGCTATGAACTATCCCCACACTGTTCACGCTTAGTCCGTCTGGATTTTGTCAACAGCAAAGGTGTGAGTAGTATGAACTACTCCAAGTTGTCTCAGTCGGCTTTGCTGACCTGGCACAAAGAAATAGCAAAGCAAAAAGATGGAAATCAAAGTGTACTAAAACTGTACTGTGAAACTGAGCTGAAGTGGTGCCTTAAGAGAACAGGTCATCTCTCCATATCCTGCTGCTAGTGGGAAATCAGCTGGGACAGGGAATCATAAGGTGAACGCTGCAATTTTATATAGATTACATATTCCACAATAAAAACAATGCACTTGGCCCTTGCTAAAGTGGAACAGATTTGCCTTGTAAAAGACCACAATAAGAATCCTCCTTTCTCTCCAGCAGAGAAGACGGGAAGAGGAGGCCCTGGTCGCACTGTGATCGGAGTTAAAATAGAAAGCCTTACGCGTGTCATGGAATCACAGAATGGAATCATAGAATCACGTCAAAAGCATCACCTTTCACTAGGCAAGGAAGTGGGTCCAAACACAAGTAATGGGCTTCCCAGAAGATCCAGCAGCTGAAGTGCTGTTCGGTAGGCACGTTTACTGTACTTCTGCTGACGGGAGCACCAGCTTGGCCCTGTGAACTTCCCGAGACAGGGAATGAACAGGCCCTTTGGTGAATTTCTGTACGCAACAGCACGCTGCTTATCTGCTGAAGAGTATCACTGGAATTGTGAAAAAGCTGGAAATCGCTTTGCAGACGTGTCTCTGCTGCTGTCGTGAGGACATTCTCTATTAGACTCTTCCAGATTAATTAGGTTTTGTAATGATAGACTTAAGTTTAGCCTGTTTACTTAGAGGAGCTTTGGAGAGGTTCTCGTCATCTCTACCCAGGGAGAAGGGCAAATCATGCTTGACTAATCCGGTGGCCTTCTGTGATGGAGCGACTGCATCCGTGGACAAGGGAAGAGCTATGGGTGTCATCTGCCTGGACTTCTGTAAGGCCTTTGGTATGGGCCCTCACAACATTCTTACTAAATGGGAGAGATAACGGATTTAATGGATGGACTGTCAGACTGGGCAAGGAATTGGCTGGATGGCCACGTCCAAAGTACATGTCAGTGGCTCAGTGTCCAAGGTGGAAACCAGTCACAAGTGGTGTTTCTCAGGGGTCTGTATTGGGACCAGTACTGTTTAAGATCTTCATCATTGACATAGTAGGATGGAGTGCACCCTCAGCAAGTCTGCAGATGACACCAGGCTGAGTGGTGTGGTGGATTTGCTTGAGGGAAGGGATGCCATCCAGAGGCACCTGGACAGGCTTAAGGAACAGGTCTGGGCCAACCACATGAGGTTCAACAAGGCCAAGTGCAGGGTCCTGCACCTGCATGAAGGCAATTGCCAGTATCAGTACAGACAGGGGGATGAAGGGACTGAGAGCAGCCCTGAGGAGAAGGTCTTGGGGGTACTGGTGGATGAAAAGCTGGCCATGAGCCGGCAGTGTGCGCTGGCAGCCCAGAAAGCCAACCGTATCCTGGGCTGTATCCAGAGAAGTGTGGCCAGCAGGTCGAGGGAGGGGATTCTGCCCCTCTCCTCTGCTCTTGTGAGACCCCACCTGGAGTCTTGCGTCTAGCTCCGTGGCCTCCAACATTAGAAGGATATAGGCCAGTTGGAACAAGTCCAGAGGAGGCCACGAAGATGCTCAGAGGGCTGGAGCACCTCTGCTATGGGGACAGGCTGAGAGAGTTGGGCTTGTTCAGCCTGGAGAAGAGAAGGCTCCGGGAAGGTGTGGTTATTGCGGCCTTTCATTATAAAAAGGGAGCTTAAGAGAAGATGGAGAAGGAGGTTTTCTCTACCAGGGTCTGTATTGACAGGGCAAGGGACAACAGTTTTAAACTGAGAGTAGGGTTAGACTGGAAAGAGGAAATTTTTTATGGTGAGATACTTGGATTGTCCAGAGAATCTGTCGACATCCCTGGCTGTCTTCAAGGCCAGGCTGGATGAGGCTTTGAGCAACCTGGTCTAGTGGAAGGTGTCCCTGCCCATGGAAGGGGGGGTGGAACTAGATGGTCTTTAAGGTCCCTTCCAACCCAAACCGTTCAGTGATTCTCTCAGTTGAGGTTCTCTGAGTACAGGCAGTTCAGATATCTACAGTGGATGGTATGAACACTCCCTAATTGTGCATCCAAACACTCCATTAGCCATTGGAACGATCTTTCTTTGACTATTTATGCCTTCCTATCACTTGGAATTTTTAAGCAAAATCTGAACTGCCATGTCATTCTATTCCTCATCTTAGAGATAGGCTGTCTGACTTGTGAAGAAGAAATCAGTGTAGTCTGTTTACGCTGTTGTAACAAACCCTTCTGACCTTAAAATCTGCATGACACATACTAGGAGAAGTAGGAAAAAACACATCCGAAACAGCTGTATCTCAACTTTTAAGAACGATTTATATCCTGGAAGTCTTGCTGTATGCATCCTGGCAGTTTCCATATTGCCAGTTCACAGTTTTAAAAGACACAGTTTTATTGGCAGCTCCAAGTTGGAGCAAGGGAGTCACTACACTACTACAGACTTCGGTTTTCTTTTTCTCTGTTTCTTTTCAGCAACCAAAGAGCTAGAAGACCCTCTGGAAACAGCAGAGAAAGTTGGTCTTGCGGCACTAATAATTCAGGTCAGTCTGAGCTGCCTCCTAAAGTGTTTGCATCTTCTGTGAAAAGTCAAAATTTGAGATGGAGAGCCACATCTAGGCTTTGTTGTTCCAGGACTTCCGGGGCCTTCTGTCATCCGATTACCAGTTTAGCTGGGATCGAGCTCTTCAAAGTCGAGGAGATACAGGCGTGTTCTTGCAGTACACCCATGCCAGACTCCACAGGTAAAAGGAGCGTTTCTGTGCAGAAGTACGGTTTGACATGTATTTTAAACTCAGAGAATCATACAAATCATAGAATTTTTTAGGTTGGGAAAAGACCATTAAGATAACCGGGTCCAACCGTTAACCCAGTACTGCCGAGTCCACCACTAAACCACGTCCCTAAGCACCACATCTTTTAAAAAACCCCGGGGATGGTGACTCAACCACTTCAGCCCGTTCCAATGCCTGACAGCCCTTTCGGTGAGGAAATTGTTCCTGATGGTACTAGGGTACCATTACTAGGGTGTTGCCTACCTCCCTAGCCCTTTTAGCAACAGGTTATGGGCCTGTTGTCCGTGCACTTCTCTAATCCTGTTGATACTGAACGGCTAGCACAGATTTTAATTTCTTTGTCTTGGCTTGAAGTCACTTTGTCTCAGTGTTCCATTCAGCTTGAGCAGAGGCAGCCTACCCTTTTTTCTTGTAAACACAAATTACTGGTTTGCTTGTTCAGCTTCGCTAACATGAGTTTTTCACCCAACGTTTATTTCTCATTCTTACATTCCAGTTTAGAACAGATGCATGGGAACGAGCAGCTACCCGACGTCAACGTGGCGTGCTTGCAAGAGCCAGCTGCCATCTCTGTTCTTCAGCATCTTCTCAGGTTTGTCTAGTTTTCTTTCCAAACACCACTTCCCTTAAAATAAACTTCTGGATTTGTCGCCAGCCTCTTGAGCAGGCACAGACCGCGCGATCGTAAGAGACAAAAGGCTGTCTCAGGCAGTGGCCTGTCTGTTGGGTCATACTGATGGCCACAGTAGCCCTCACTTGAAATCTCTGTGGGCTTTAGAAGCCATACGAGGGAAAAAGCAGTATCTGGAAGATACTCTGTGTCCATGAGTCTCTTCATTATCTCTTGTCTTCACGAAAATATGCTAAGCTCTATATAGGTATTAGCTGCAGATTTGCTTGGTCCCTCCTGTTCTGTTTTTGTCATGTGGGAAAGGGGAGAGGAAGTGCTCCTGGTGAGGTGAAATGGAGTACCTGCATCCACATTCCGTAGCTCAGCGTCCTTCCGAGCTACTGAACGCGCGCAACTAATACCTCTTGTAGCAGTAGTGTCCTTCGTTAATTCAGTCTTCAAGTTGAACTGTGTCGGTTTTCCTCATTTCATAGGTGTGTCATTAAAATACGGAGACGGGGGAGTTGTTCATGTTGTGCAGCCTGTGATGGAGTTGGAAGTAATTGAGGCTTTTAGAATTCCTAGAGGGAAATCCTGCATACTGCGCTGCGCCTCGCACAGTGCCGGAGCTGAATCCTTTGGCCACACTAAGGCCTTCTACAGGGCGTCTGTTGAACGTTCGGACTTCCAAAAGTCACGTCAGAGTCCCAGGTGGCTCCTTTCGGCCTGCAGCTGGAGGTCCCAGTGTCCTACCGATAACTGCCTCGGGCGGCCTGCCTGCAGTTTGTCGCGTGCTGCATGCTGTCCTGAGGACTAACAAGACCAGCCAGCACTCTAAATGAGACCCGTAGTACCGTATTTATCCAGTGCAATCGTATTTCACAGAAACATCATGGGTCGCTGCTTCGTTTTTATCAGATTAGTGTATAGCTGCCCAGCTTAAGCGTGAAAACTAACAGGGTTAATGTATTCTGGGTTGATTTGCAGGGGACAGCGCGCCCCTGACGTCTCCGTTTTCAAACAGACGCTGTTGCTCCACCACAGGGCTCTTATTTACACAGAGCTTCAGGTCTCCTTATTGCAAAGGCCTTTGGGTCTGGCCAAGCAGATACCCTCCCAGGGAACAGGAGCACTCCCCGGTGCCGTAGCTGGGATGTGACCGCTGAGCCTTCGTTGTCAGAGCTCAATTCCCGGTTCTCCCGCAGGTTGCCTTTGAAGGAGGAAGATCCCAGGGAAGTTTAGCTTGGGCATGCTGGCAGGGATGGGCCTGGGAGCTGAGCAAAGACCAGGAAGTCCACTTCCCACTTAGCATTTGTAATCTGTTCGGCCCCAGAGGTGTTGGTAACTTCTTGCAGGCCGTGAAGAAGAGGATGTGCACAGGTGGGCAGCAGAACAGATGAAGAAAAAGCATGGATCTTCGTGAATCTGCCTGCTTTATCCAGTTTAATACTGCCTTACACAAGTGGATTTTATTCCAGGATTATGCAAACCCACTTTGGTTTTGTCTTTTTTACTGTTACAAGATTTCCTGTAGCTACTTCAAATTCTAAATGCATTTACTAAAGGCAACATCCTCTCGGGGACTCTTTTGATTGCCTTGGTTATTTAATCCACGGTTTTTGCTCCTAGGAGCTTACAATTAGTGTCGAAATGTAAAACCAGGCGTGACGTTCCAGGAGCAAATACAGCTTTCGTGTTCTCTTTGCTGTAGCCTGCCTCGCTGAGCTCTGCCATCAACAGCGTTCGCGCCAGGAGGAGTGGAAGCAATCGTCTCCTGTAACAATGAGTGAACGGGGAAGAAATAATCAATTCTCTGCTAATTACACGGCTTTAGGTCTGGTTCAGAAGATGATTTTGGTTAATTCTGCGGTTGTGGGTGCGTTCTGGCTTAAGCAAGTCTGATGAGCCTTGTGTCGGAGTACACCCTCCTGCCACTTCAACACCAACCAGTCCCTTTCCTTCCTTCACAGGTACGATGAGGTGCTGTACCAATCTTCGCAGGATCTGCAACCCAAGCACATTGTCAGCTACCTCCTCACCCTCAGGTAAGGGGGTGGGTGATGCCGGCGTCGTGCTCCTTACCAGAGCGGTCTTCCTGAGCGGGCTCTGCAGCATCTGCACTGCTTTGAAGGGTAAAAATACTGGGGAGATGTAAATTTGTGGGACAGTCTCTATGGAGCAGGGAAGGTGTAAATAAAGTAGGATTAGCACGTAATGTAATAGAGAGCAAGGTTGGGACCAGGAACAAAGGAGCCAGGAGCCTCCTCAGAAATTAAGTGCTTTCAAGAAAAAAGGATCACTTGGTTGCAATGCAGTGCCTGAACCCCAAATCATGCTGGTCTGATCGTATCTTCAAGAGCAGATGTGAGCTGATAATATGCTCTCAAATCTCAACATTTCAGCTAGGAAACTGTGTCCAACCCCAAGCTCTTCAAGCACTGATCTCGGCCTACGTGCTGAGATGGCCAAAGCATGTTATTGCTGTAAGCCATACTGTGTGGGGATACTCCCATACTCCCTCATTTCTCTTACATCCGTGAAACACCAGAGCAGACTGCTGAGGGAGCTGTAGAGCCTGCGTATGGGGCATGCTTTAAAAAGTTAAGGAAAACTGTATAAGGAATCAAATGACAGGGCAGGCTCTCCAGGATCTTTCCGGACCAGTTTTGAGGTTGTTTTAGGGAAGCAGTGGAGAAATCGGTTTGGGTGGGGTTTTTTTTAACAAGCATTAAGTTGTTGATGGCATGCCCTGACAACAGGCAGGCTAGAGAAAACCATGGCCTCCCCCAGCCAGGTGAAAGAGGGTGTCAGAAATGACAGTCTGTGTCATGCTGCCCCTGCAGCTCTTCTGGTTCTGCTGCTTTCTGTAGGCCCTAGCTCTGCTCTTGTCCAGGGACTTGCTGGTTGGAGCAAGTCCAGAGGAGGCCACGAAGATGCTCAGAGGGCTGGAGCAGCTCTGCTATGGGGACAGGCTGAGAGAGTTGGGCTTGTTCAGCCTGGAGAAGAGAAGGCTCCGGGGAGACCTTATAGCACCTTCCAGTACCTGAAGGGGCTACAAGGAAGCTGGGGGGGACTTTTTACAAGAGCCTGTAGTGACAGGACAAGGGGTAACGGGTTTCAATTGGAAGTGGGGAGGTTTCGAAGATGATTTCAAAGATGGTTTCAAAGGGACTTTAAAGATGATTTTTAAGGTCCCTTCTAACCCAAGCCATTCTATGATTCTGTGATTCTGTGTTCTCCATTCCAGCCACCTTGCAGCCGTGGCACACAAAACCCTTCCTGTGAAAGGCAGTGGCCCTGAACTAGCCCAGGTAGGTGGGGCAGTGTTGGTATGTGGCTGGAGCCTGCGCAGGGTGTCCGGGAGGAGTGATCCGCGAGGGCTCTGCCAAGCCAGCTGTGTAGCCAAGCCAGCTGTGTAGATGCTTGGGTGACTGTGCACCTGCAGGCAGGCTGTCCAGGGCTTCAGGGGGAGTCAGGGGTTGCTGTTCACAGCTCTGCCCTCGGGAAAGGGCTGCTCTGCCTCATCTTCCCAAAACAGAACGCTCCATAAGGACAACTGCTCCAAACCCAAAGCCCTTTCCTTCTCATCACCGTTACTTCTCAGAAGTAAAGTTTTGAGCATTTAACTCGGTTTGTTCCTGCTGCTTTCCTTTAGCGGTTCTGTGGGAAGGCAGAGAGCAAGGAGATGACCGAATCTCTCTCCTCCCTCTTCCCACCTACATACCCCGAGCTGTCTAGGCTGCCTTTCTAGCCAAAGCACCGAGGCTGACAACTGGTGATGTGCAGCC